ATGAAAAAGTGCTTTTCTAAGGAGAATATTTTACTTTTTTGTTTCGAAAAATGTCATTCGTGAAAATGTTGTCTGAGGGCAGAGTTTGCAGTATTTGCAAATAACTTTACATATTTTGAAATGTTGCTTTCAGGGGCATGATAATAAATTATTGTACTTGTGTGCTCACTGTGCTGACATAACTTAGCAGATTTTGCACAATTGCACTTCATCTTTTGTTTACAATATTGTAAAGCATGGCCATAAAAAAATTAAAAATGGCTGTTTCGCCCCATATCAGGGCTCATCAGCATGCCTAGGAAACACATATACCATATATAGTGGTAAGCTTGCGAATCCGACATGGACAGCCTTGTGAAAGGCCTAAAATGAGCAAACTGGTTTTAAGGCGCCAGTAACCCGCCTTTCACACCTTTTAAAAGGAGTTTGATTAGAAAAGGGCAACTATTTGGGACATTTCATGGATATGCAATTGCTCACTTTTGCACATCATCCCAGTCAATTCTAACCCTTTACTCCCCACCCTCCCATCCCACCCAACTCTACACCTAAAATCTAACCTGACCTAATTCTGATTTTGTATATAAGAAATAAAAGCAGTCCAAATTTAAACTAATAATAAAAGAGCACATTGGGGATAGAATATCTGAATATGTGCTTGATATAGTTGTAGAGGAATCCAAACATGACAGAATGTGCAGATCATAAAAGAGTCCACATATTGGAGGCAAAACTTATGCATGAGATATTTGAAATATCTTATTACTATAGTTATTACCAAATAACTGACCCACATCACATGGAGGTCATGAAAGAACACACACTGGAAATAAACCTTGATGCAAGAGATATTTTTAAAAGGGATTCACTGACACTAGCCACCTGGCAGATCATAAAAGAACACACGCTGGTGACAAAACTTATGTATGAAATTGTTGAAATAAACAGAAATATAATATTAGTAAAGATGTTGACAGAAACTGGCCCACATGGAGATCATAAAAGAACACACACTAGAGACAAACCTTTTCCATATTAGAGAGGTGTCTGAAAGGAAAGTTGGACAATATAATATAACCTGATCGTGATTGAATGCATAGATACCACATAACTGAAGGGCCTTAGCTCGAAATGCCAAAGTTCTGCTTACACTTTTCAAGTAGTTTGTATCCTTCACACAATGTCTTCAATCAAATTTGGATGTAGTATTTTTCAATTTAGGTAAATACAATATTTACCTAAATTGAAAATTAAGACGTCTTGGCTTTTCAATAAACTTCTCCAAAACCAACTTGTGGAGCTGCTTCTGATCTTCTTTCTCCTTCAGTATGTCCTTATGGATAGATATCCTGCATAATGAGCCAAGTCGTCCATCACTCATTGTGCTGCGCAGATAGGACTTTACTCTACCCAAACATGAAAAGGATCTTTCAGCAGATGCACTCGATACTGCAATGACAGCATTTAATTTTAGTAACTTGACAAATTCTGGAATACACCCTGAATATTCATCTGGTAAATATATTGTAAAAGTTCCATTGGATTATCCTTTAAAAAATCTTGATCTTTGTAAATAAACATCAGTTGGCTTTCGAGACTAGAAATATCAAAGAGTGGCCCATATTTCTCTCTCAACAGCTGCAACTTGTCAGCTGGGACACCACTTTGCCATTTAGTAAAAATTTTGGGGTTCACCAAATCGAGAAGCTGTCAACATCTTGAAACCGATTATTGACCATACCAACAATGGTGTCAATCACTTCACAATAAAGCTGCTTATAATTAATAATTTGCTCTGATCTTCTGGATGGGACACCAGCTCGATTCTCAGCAGCCGCATAGCAGGTTTCAAAGGCAGTATCATTGCGAAGATCATTTTTGAGAAAATCTACAAAATTTTGGATTTTTTTAACACCATCAGAGAAATCAGTGGCCCTATTTTGCAGAACATTGTATAAGATTGAGGACTGTTCCAAAATTTTGTAGTAAAGCTCTAATAAAAAGCAAAATAGGAAGGACTCAAGATTTTGGAGCAGACCATCTGCCCGGTCAACTGTGTCTTCTCTCCACATTCGAGGTGCATCTTTAATTTCAGTTAAAGCTCTCTCTAAGGCTTCATACCCCTTAAAGATAGCAGAGACAGTACGGGACTTATAATACCACCTAGTTTCACCTGGATTTGGGATATCAACACCATGGGAATTTAGATGTGCCTTTCTATCAGAGCTGGGCTTACTAAAGGTACAAAAAGCAGATATCTTGGAGAAAAAGAGCTTCACCTCGTTGATATTCAATGCAGATTGACACAGAACTAAGTTTAAGCGATGGGCGGCACAGTGAAAGAAAAATGCAAATGGATAATCTTGCCGCATGAGGGTCTGGACGCCATTGAGATGACCACTCATAACAGCTGCACCATCATAAGTTTGCATAATCAGTTTAGCTTTAACTGACTCACCATATCTGCTAAGCACCCCTTTAACAACATCACATATCGCTCGGGCAGTGCGATCTGTGCTGACATTCCTAAACTTTAGAAATCTTTCCACTACTTCACCCCCCCTATCTAAACGAACAATGACGCTAAGTTGCTCTTTAGTAGACACATCCAACGTTTCATCACATTGGATACTAAAGAACTGACAGTCCCTTATTTACTTATCAATTTGATCCTCAATCACAGCATCTATGCATTCAATCAAATCATTTTGGACATCTGCTGACATACCGGTAAAAAAAAACCCAGAATCAGGCCTTTCTGAATCCTGTAGCCTGCCATGCAAACGACGGTCGAACACAGAATCTAATTTACCAAATGACTTTAAAAGCTGTCTATAATTACCCTGATTCAGACTTGTGCTGGATTCATCATGGCCTCTAAATGCTAGCTCTTGCTTAGCCAAATACAGCACAGCTTCACTAATATTATTTAGCATTTCCCGGTTTTGCCTCACACCCTCATTATATCTCTCAACAGCCTCCCTCCTAGCCCTCGAAAACAAAACATCTACACTCTCATGGTCAACCCTATCAAAGGTTTTCCACATTTTGTACGCGTCCATGTGGGAGTTAGTTCTCTCATGCTTAGGGCAGTCACTCAAAAAATTATGCATGTTAACATACCCTGTGTGCGTCCAAGTTGTTGATTTGGGGCGAAATAAAAGACATGGCCAGCAAACTCACTGGCACACAACCAATCTTTCCTCGTATACCACGACTCTTGGAAGCTTCGACCTCTTGTTTTTATCAATAGCTTTGGCATAGGTCGTTGCATTCGAACAATTTCCTTCTGTTCAATGGCATTTCGTGAGCTAAAAGGCCTTTGTAAAAGCTCGGAGATGATAGAGACCTTACGATTTTAGGACGGCAACGCGACGGCAACGCGACGGCAACGGCTACCAATACAATAGATTATTGAAAAGAATTGAGTAATTACAATAAATGAATAATTTAGACATTGTCCTCGCTCTGTTTACAACGCCAAATCACAGATTTTCACGTGCTGATACAACGGCTGCATTCCAAGCCACAACAAGTGCAACTTCAAACTAGGTTTAGCAGAACTCTTTCCAAACATAAAACCCATGTCTTCCACTTCTAAAACTGTATTAAATTCATACGATTGATAATCCCCGAGCCGACGGCGCGAAGCGCCGTGCGAGGGTACTAATTCCCCCCGGCTATTTACACCCGGGGAAACGAAAGCATTAGCGGAGTCCATTGAACTAAAAATAACTGGAACGATACCTCCAACCGGAAATGTGAAGCCATGCCCAGGCATGCCCACTGTTGTCATGCCCAGTCTTTTCACGTAACGGAAAAACGCGGGTTTTTTAAATTTTCACAACTGGGTAAAAAAAATGCACTAAAACATCGTTTAAAACGACTTAAAATGCACCTGACAGTACATTTTTTACAATAAAAAAATCCTTCAAAACTCTAGAGTAAAATATTTTTAATTTGTTTGTGTAGAAATCGTAATTAAATTTTCTTTTTTGAGAAAAAACGTCGAGCGAGGAGTGGAGCTTGCCGTGGTCTAATCATATAAAGTGTGAAATATTTGTGTGAAATTCCCTATTTTGCTCGTTCGTTTTCCAATTTATTCGTCTGAAAGTTAGGAAAAAGGTATTCTAACAATATCAAACTACCATCCACAGTTTAATTATGTTTTGTAGTAGAGTATTTATTAAGTTTTAAAAGTACAAAATAACAAATATAAACATTAAAGTTTTTTTCGCGGATAAGTATTTCATGTTGGGATTATTCACATTCGGCAAGAAATACAAAGAAAAAGTGGTCAACGAAGGCAAACAAAGTGATAGATACAGACTTGTCTTGTTTAACAATCAATGAAGTTGTTATAAATACATATTTAATACGTTTATAAGATAAAGAATTACTTATCTTTCTCAAGTGTCATCTGCATATAAACGTTCCAGTCATTCAAATATGCACTTGTTGTCTCCAATCGGTTAGTTTCGTCCTTGCAATTTTAGTCGGTAGGATTCAAGATATGTTTTAAATGCACTTCTAATACAAAAATATAGCTTAAAACCCTAAATAAACGACAATTTTCGACCCATTCGCCCAAGAAAAAACATTCAAGTCACTGCCGAAATGGTCTCGCGAGAATGTCTCGCAACACAAACACGCGTGTCTGGAGGTAGAACACGCGCGGCTGGAGGTAAAATTTGGCTTCATCCGATCATAAGCCAAACCTATTGGAGGTAGCGTTCCAGGTATTTTTAGTTCACTGGCGGAGTCTAAAGTTCATCAAATATCGCGGGCGTGGGTGACCAACGATGGGTGGTCATCACTGAGCTATACTATATTACTGGAGGACCTGCTCGGCATCAACAAGTGAAGCCGAAAACATGGCGGATCTTACGCCATTGCCATGACAACACTTCCGAAATTTTCATGGTAACTGCCACTGACCAACCGCGATCTTAAGCTTCCGACGATGTCCTTAACCCCCCTGGTTTTTACACAGAAATATTAAAGATATTTCAAGTTTTCTGTTGTTTTTGAGCTAAAAATCTTAATATTTCCAATTTTCCATGATCGCACATTACTTGTTTTACAACGCGGAGGAAGGATGCGGTTTGGTTCGCTTGTGGATGCAGCACTTCACTGCAAAGAAAGACTAATTCTTTCAGGTAAGATTCACGAAACTTTTTTTAACTTTCTAGGGACTTGCATGGTCATATCACTCGAGATATCATCACTCATATGTCAAAAACTCATCATCATAATATATTATATATACAGCAAATATTTCAATAGCAGATATAAAAATATTGTTAATGATTGGATACTGTGTGCATGAAATTATGTTGTTTTGTGTCAGCACTGGCCTTTGCTTTGTGGTTTTATTGCCAGACTACCAGTTTTTAATACTAAAAATTTTATATATTGTGGTTGTTTTTACATGTTTATATGGTGTGAAATTTTTATACTTGCCCATCATATAGTGCTGGATTAATACATATAGATAAGCGCAAAACCACAAGACCGGAGAGATTTTAGTAGAGGAAGCCCAGTGCCCACCTATGTGTGGCAATATATATGCCTGTCCTGATGAGCCCTATGACTGTCTTTTTTGTTTTACCCTGTCTGTGTAATGCCAGACGATTTTAAGGGGAGACTGTTCACTGCTGCCACTCAGTGGGTTAAACATACTATCTGCCAATGAGCAGCCCCTGAGATATAGTCAGCCCATTAAGCAGCAATGTACCCAAATGAACCCTACATTCTTATTTTACTCAAAGGGAAGAGTCTTGGGGTAGAAAATAGATACTCACTTTGCCATTGTCTGTCAAAAATGTTGCCCACAAGCTGTTGGGATAAGTAGTCACTATCGATGACTGACCAGGTAAATTCAGAATATGCTACAACATTTCTAACATTGGAAGAGGTGATGTCTGATGGTCTGTGAGAAACTATGATGAAATTTGCTAATAGAATTGCATTCCTGAATATGGAAACATGATATATTGCACCATAGTGGCAGCACTCTCCCCTTGACTAGTAAAATTGTCTGACATTAGATGGATTAAAATAATACAGTAAGAAATTGCCACTTGAAGGGTTAATATATGTGTATTTATTATATATAGTAGTAGAAAGCGAGATACTGAAAAATACACAGTGAGATATTTTCCATATCTTCACTAGTGCATGAAGATATCGATCATGTGACTTTTTCCAATTTCACAATTTTTTGCTTAGGACTATATAATAAACATAACATTACATGGTGGCTTGATGATATGACTTTTATCTTCTCGTGTTAAAAATATTATTCTACTCACAGTCACTCGCTGTGCTCGTTCGTAAAATATTGTTTTCACCACTCGAAGATAAAAATCATATCTTCGCGCTGTGTAATATCCTCTATATATATATACATGCATATGATATTTTTATTTTCATGGTGTATAAAGATGTATATAAATGTGTCGTGATAGTAATGTCATCTTTTATTTTGCAGAAATTATCTGTTTGATGCAACACAAGAGATGGCACAGACATCAACATGGAAGACAACATACAGAACATCAAAATGAAGTTATAATTATAATACCATAACAACATAATAAATAATTATATGATTATAATAACTTTATTGAAGTGTAAATTTTTATAACAGAGCACAATGGTGCTCCACTAAATTAGGAAGAATTAAAATTATACATTTTTTTTTTAATTGTTTACTGCTAGTTAATAGAGGCTACAAAAAAGTGAAATACTGTACATCTTTCCAGAAAGTATGCCACTTTGCCTATGGAGCCTCTTTTTGGTGTGTGTGGCATATCTCAATCATGAAAATGAGACTCTAAAGCCTATAACCAAGGTGATATACTTTCCGGAAGCATGTATTAAAATACAGTTGTTCAAAATTAATCAAGCTTTAATGGTATGTTCAGTTCAGGCACAGATTTTCTGGGGGTTATGCACCCCAGAAATGATTCGCACCCCCTCCCCAGAGGCATTTGGCAACACCCTTAAAAGTTTTTGCAGCCCCGCAAATTATATATATTTTGATTTGATAGTTTCATATTTGATTATTCTTACTACTAAATTTGTAAAATTACCAATATTATGTTCTCAGCCAAAGCAAGCAGCAGCACCCCCCAGATAAGGGGCTTCGGTGGCCAAGTGGTTAGCGCACTTGCCTTTCACCTCTGAGGCTGCAGGTTCGAGTCTCACTAAGTACCTTCTCAATGCGACTCGAACCCAGTCCCCATGTGAAAAGAGTAAAAGTCAACGCTCTGCCGAAAGCCGTGGGTTTTCCCCGGGTACTCCGGTTTCCTCCCACAGGGAAAGTTGACAGGGTGGGTTAGGTAAAAAGGGCCCACAGTAATTGGCATATGCTGTTGTGGTGACCCTGCCCTAGTTGGCAAAGCTAAATAAATAAATATCTATCCACCCCCACCACCCCTGAAACGAAAATATGAAAATCCGTCTCTGGTTCAGTTCAGTTTCCAAGGATGTAGCTTGGTACTGTGTTTTTCCACCCAGAAAGGAGAGTGTGTCATGGAATAAATCTGCAATAAACAAGAATAGATTAATTATACAGATTGTACAATTATCCAGGTAACATAACTTAGCATATGACCAAGGTAAATATTATAAAAAGAATGTGGCCTAACTCCTCAGCTTAAATCAGAACTATGAGTGCACTTATAAACTCAAGGTACATTGTTTATTCAAAGTGATATTTACTGAGAAAACCTGTAAGAAAACAGTGCATCCTGGAAATGAGGTGTGATAACACATGCATGCCTTGGCACACACCTCAGCTAAACCTCAGCTTAGGGAAAAGTGTGATTTATCTCAAGCCTCTATAATGACACAAAAATCAAGAAGTATCCCCAACCAGAAAGCTAGCACCTCCAGCTTATACTGTACATAAGTTGGTACATAACACAAAACCTAAATCCCTCTTTCAAAAGATAGTCTGTGGTACATGAATAACATGATCATAGTTCATGTCTATTTATAAAACGAGACCTCAGAGTCAACCTTTTAACATTATTACACCAGACAGTTGGCACTTTAAAGACCGTCGTATTAATACTAGTATATGTGACCGAATATCATTTTAATAAGCTTCGTAGATTGTAACCAAATATTTGCGATTGTGAATCACAGCTTGCTAAAGTAGTGGGAAATTTTACACTTTCCCATGTGTATTGCACTGTAGGAAGCTGTTTCCCTAACAAATAGAGTGTCATTTTCATCGTTATACTTATTAATTTCATGTCAATAAAGATAAAGTGTAAATAAAATTGAATATGAAAATACGTCTCTTACCTTTGTATAAAATCCCTATTCAAGTCTCCTCTTTTTCCCACATTTCTTGAGGTTTTAAAATTTGCTTGTCGTCTTTGATGGGCGAGAATAACACGTACAACTTGCATATCTTTGTCCAAATGATCAAAGGTAAAAAATTTATATCGAAAAAATATAATATACTGATTCAAAACAACAAGAACTATATTATCTGCAAAACTTTTTTGCAAAAACCAGGGGGGTGTGAAAACGGCCGTGGGCTCAGAATTGAGCCTGGTCAGTGGTACCTACCATGAGGATTTCGGAAGTGTTGTCATGGAAATGGCGTCATTTTCACTCAAAATCCGCCATGTTTTTGGCTTCACTTCGTTGACTGAACGAAGTATAGGAGCAGGTCCTCCAGTTATTATACAGCTCAGTGGTGGTCATCCTCACTGATCTCAAAAATATGGCGGACTGTCATGAATAGCGGACACTGATTGGTCCAATTTAAATTTTGCATTATAACGACTGGCACGAATGTATCACGACAGCGAAATAGCAAACATTTCTTGATTTGATGATTGATAAATTTCTTGCAAATATATTTCATTTTTACTCGCATTTTTGCAAGATTTTGTAAATTTGAAAAGCTCTCTCAAAATGAAACTGCGAAAGAATCGTCTAAAAGAAGGGAGCCGACGTTAACGAAGGTAAGTTTGTTTTAAATATTGATTTTATAATGGCTTTAAAACCCGACGGCCTTTGCGTATATGAAACAACTAAACAAACAGCATATAATTTTAGTGTATCTTTAATATTGATTCCCTTCTTTATGGTATTGAATTTCTAAATAAAAAAGAAAGCACTGAGTTATTTGCAAGCCAGAATTTGAAATAATTTTATTGCTAACTCAAAGTTTATCGATAAAGCCATTTTAAAAGGCAGTTTAGTTTTATAATGAACACTAGTGACTTTAAAACGTTTTGCGAAGCGTTTGTGGTTGAATTTTACCTTAAATTGAGGCTTATATTACGTATAAAAACATACCTAACATATATTTATGTTGGGAAATTAATAATTTTGTAATTAAAAGTGATATTTTTAGCAGTGCTTCCATTTTTAAAATCAAAATTTCTCATTTTTGTCATCAAAATTTCTCTAAATTCCTTAGATTGTATATGTTATTTCCTTGAAAATTCCTTGAAATTTCATGAAGCAGTTTGCAGTGATTTTGTAGCAATACAAAGGATTTAATTAATTTTCAAGGCACAAAATAGCACATTTAACAAAGATGTTGGCAAGCTAAAAACCACAGGCTGTTATACTGTTTAAAATTAAATATTTGTTATGAATTTACAAGAGATATGTTTATATTGATATGATTAATAAACTATTCACAGCGTTTGGCGCAGTTTGGCGCCAAAAGTTACTAAATCCCATCGCTCAAAAATTTTCGAAAATTTTCGAAAGCACGAGGAAAAAGTTAAAAACAGATTTTTAATTAAAGATAATTGATAAATCATTCAAAAATTCAAAAAATAGTGAAACCTTCTTCACTAATGCACTTGGATGAATATTTAAGTTTTTCGGAAAAATCCTTAGATTTCCTTAGATTTTTTCTCTTCCTTAGATTTTCCTTTTCGACAGTAGAATTTCCTTAGAAAAGGAAATTTCCTTGAAAATGGAAGCACTGATTTTTAGGCGATTTTTCATTTGTAAGAATATTCTTAAAAAATTATCGTGTTACCATGACAACTACTTTAGAACTTCATGTTCGGAAAATACAATGGTTTTGTCAGCAAGGCGAGGGTTTCTGCATGCATGTATTTTCTAGTATACGACGAACTATCGACTACCATATATTTGAAGGAGTTTGTTTTGGCCGTCGCCGTCGCGGTTGCCGTCCTAAAATCGTAAGGTCTCTAATATCTCTGGTACTACGGCCTTCTGATGTTATGACTTATGCTCGGTTGAGTCTGATCGATTTCCATATTCATAACTTGAATAAATTTCGCCAAAATTGCTGAATAATTCAACAGTATTTAATTTGGTCGTGCTTTCAAAGATGAGCACGACAAGAAGAAAAAAAATTCGCGTGCTACGCATGCGTGAGAGGCAATCCAACCAATAGAATGAGTTGGAATTTATAATTTAGTCGTGCTCGCCTGACGAGAGCACGACTAACGGGCGGGTTACCCGTTAGTCGTGCTATTAAACCCGCGGTTGGGTGATACTACGTAATTATATAGTATACTCGAATTGGCTCGAATTAGCTTAAAATCAGGGCAAAATCGCCGGATTTGAAAGGATTTCGCACTTATAAAAGATGTCGCAAGTGTTGATTTTTAAATTTTACGAATATTTTTTATGACCAAAAAAATTATTTTCTTTGAAATTTTTTTAGTCGTGCCCAGCACGACCAGCACGACCTCTAGCTACGCCACTGCCCCGGGCTCATCACGAACCACCCAAGTTTGATCAATTCAGCTGCTGGGTCACCGTCCTCACCGACAAGTGGTACAGTTCTGGTTTTAATTCGAGCGTATTCTCCACTTCCCAATATCATGTGAATCGGGAGTTGCTGTTTCGAATCATGGTCTGCGATCTCGACTTGTTTCAGGTGCTGATGCTTTCGTATCAACTGTTCATATCTTGGGTTATCAATCCTCAACAGTTCACCCTTGTTGACTTTTGTCACACGTACTTCCATTTCGTAACTGCCATCCACGGACCCGATCACCACGTCATATGACTCAATTCTCGTAACTCGCGAGCTCATCAGCATGTCGATACGCTGGATCTTCGTCGCACTTGGTTTCTTTTTCAGGAGATCGATGAGCTTCGCCGACGCGTATGAACTGCCAGCCCCGGACAAGCGCGCGACAGGTGATTCCATCAACCTTTACGACCACAACGGGAAATATTGCATCACCACTTTTACCATCTGTCATCAATTTCCCATTTTTCACAAGCGACAGTGATAATAGACGTTGTGAATCTATCATTTGGCCAAATGGGATGTTTTGACTATATACACACGCATTTAAATAGTTACTCTGTATAAAAGACAAATATTTATGGAATAAATTTCGTGGATAAACGGCCGCATGCCTGACATACGACGTGTTACATAAAAGCGCTGCGTGTTTGTAATATGCAAATTATAAACTGATATTTATCTGCTTCTCTTTATAAATCATTATATATGCTTGTTTGTTCAGTGTTCACTGTTTCTATGTATATTGCAGATACGAAAAGCGGTCTATATTGTTCTGGTAAAATGATATATTAAATATAATTTGGTTTGTGGCTCGCGCCATTTTGGAAAATTAGTCCGCAGGCCTTTCCGTTCGTTTCCCACCAATTTTATTTTTTTGAAAGGCCTGCGGAGGAGGTAGGTGAAGGAAGGTGCTTCCAATCCACGGTAAGCGTCTGTGGATAAGAGAGCGTCACTGAGTACCGATGGTGAAAACAAAGACGGCTGGTACAATTACTAAAATGAACTAATCGTGACCGTGTACAATGCAAATAATGCACTCGAAGTTCTTGCTTACGTTGGGTGAACGAAGGTGCCAGGCATTAAAATAAAGATTTTGACAAGGACACACTTTACCGCCACGCCAAGGGCAACAATCACTTGGAAGTGTGGGATGCAGACTAGCTTAATTAAGGAGGCTCCCTACCAGGGCCGTAGCGAGGGGGTATTGGGGGGTGGTTAACCCCCAACTTTTTTAGAATTAACATATTCGGAAAATCAGGTTGGCCATTCGGAAAATTAGAGCAATAATAGTATAACAAAATTTTAGTTGTTAAATAGAGAAAATATAATATAATTGTATTGTCAGTATAAACTGATTTACGAAATCATGGCATTTACATGGATAACATTTAACAAATCGTCGGTTTATTACTTCTCAGGGCCGTAGCAACGGGCGGGGGGATGGGGGGGGGGGTTGCAACCCTCCCAACATTCTCGTACCCAGAGCCCTTCTTACGCGCGGTG